GAGGGAGGAGGAGAGGGAGGAGGAGGAGGGAGGAGAAAGGAGCGAGGAGGAGGAGGAGGAGAGAGGGGTGAGGAGAGCGGAGGAAGAGTAAAGAGAGAGGCGGAGGAGGAAGAGGAGGAGGAGGAGGAGGAGGAGGAAGGAGGAGGCAGAGGAAGAGGAGGAGGAAAGGCAGGAAGGAGAAGCGAGAAGGAGAAGGAGAAGAGCGAAAGGAAGGAGGGAGAGGACAGAGAGAAAGAGGAAGAGGAGATAAGGTAGAAAGAAGGAGCGGAGAGAGACAGAGAAGGACGGAGAGGAGGAGGAGAGGAGAAGGAGGAGAAGAGAGGAGGCAGAGGAGGAGAGGAGAAGGAGGAGAAGGAGGGAGGAGAAGGAAAAGGAAAAGAGAGGGAGGGAGGAGGAGGAGGAGAAGGGGAGAAGGAGAAGGAGAAGGAGGAGAGGAGGAGGAGGAGGAGGAGGAGGAGGAGGAGTGAGCAGTAGGAGGAAGGTAGGAGGAGAAGAAGGAGGAGGAAGAGGAGGAGAAGAGATATGGAGAAGGAGGAGGAAGAGAAAGGGAAGAAGGAGGAGGAGGAGGAGAAGAGAAAAGAGGAGGCGGCGGCGGAGGAAGAGGAAACGAAGGCGGAGGAGGAGGTGGAGGAGGCGAAGGAGGAGGAGGGCAATAGGATAAGAAGAGACAAAAGAAGAGGAGAAAGAGGAGATGGATACGGAGAAGAAGAGGAAGGAGCCAGGTGAGACGACGAAGGAAAGGGGAAGAAAAGGAGAGAGGAAGAAGATTAATCAACTAATGCATTCTCCATATTTCTTTAGCCGACATCAAAATCAAATTACACTGAGACCAAGAAAGAGAGCTTTAGATATGCTATACATACGGAGATGTCTTCGCGATAGATAATAGAAAATTGATAAAAAAAAAAGAGAAAGAGAGAGAAAGAATTGATAAAAAAAAAAGGGAGAAAGAGAAAATGCGGAGAAAAAATGGAAGATGTCTTGGCGATAGATAATAGAAAATTGATAAAAAAGAGAGAAAGAAAAAATCGGAGAAAAAAAGGGAGATATCCTGGCGATAGATAAAAGAAAATTGAAAAAAAGAGAAAGAAAAAATCGGAAAAAAATGGGAGATATCTTGGTGATAGTTAATGGAAAATTGATAAAAAAGGGAGAAAGAAAAAAAAATGTGATAAAGAAAACGGATATTAAAGGTATAAAGAAAATTTATTGGGAGTTGCAAAGTATTTTAATATTTACATAGTCCAGTAACATAAGCAGGGGAAACTAAAATAAAAAATAAAAATATTACTTAGTATAATCGTGATTAGGAAGGTAATCGTGATAACAATAAGAATACAAATCATAATGATAATAAAAGGGATAGAAAAAACATCGATAATAACATCAACAAAAGTAATAAAAATGATACTGATGATAATGATTTTGATAATGATAATAATGCAATGATGTAATGATAATAATGATGATGATAATGGTGATAGTGATGATAATGATGATAATTAGTAATATTCATAATGATAATGATAATAATAATGATAATAATAAATAATGATATAATGATAATATTAATGATAATGGTAATAATATCAACCCACTACCGCTGGTATATTTTTGAAACTGAAAATAATAGTTTTCGGGCGGCTTCAAAATAATAATAACAATAATAATGATAACACCAATAATAATGAGGATGATTATAATGATAATGATAACAATGACGATGATAATAACATGAAAATAACAACCATAATATTTTTTACTATCATCATCACTACTATCATCACTATCTACTATTGCTACTGTTAAAACCAATGTTTTTATTATCATCATCATTATCATCCTTATCCTTATTACTATTATCATTATCATTATGATCCTTATCACTGTGATCATCATTATCTCTATGATCATTATTATTATTATCATTGTTATTATTGCTTTTATTATCATCATTATTATTGTTGCTGTTGCTACTATTATCATTATTGGTATCATAAATGTTGTTACCATCATTATTATTATCATCATTGTTGGTATTATCATAATCATCATCATTTTTTATCCTTATCATTATATTTTCTATCACTTTTATCATTGTCATTATCATTATCATCATCATTATTAATATTCATTATTCTTGATATTTATCATTATCATAATCATTATTGTTGTTATTATTATCATAGCCATATATTATTTCATAATCATTATTGTTATATTATCATTAATCATTATTGTTATTACTATTATCATAATCATTATTGTTATTACTATCATAATCATTATTGTTATTACTATTATCATCATCATTATTTTCATACCACTGTTGTTATTGTCATTATCACTGTCATTATTATCATCATTATTACTATCATCACTATTATCAATATTATGATTATAGATATTTTTATTATCATTACTATCATGATTGCCATTATCATTATTAGCATTATGATCATTACCATCATAATGTTAATAATGTTAATAAGCTATTATC